GAATCAAACTATGATAAAGGGAATTATATTATATAACAAAGGGCAAGGTCACCAGAGTTCAACTATGTTTTGATGTTGTTTTCATGGGATTCAATTATTGTGGCTGTGGATTTAGACTGACTCATCATAGGAGAAAATCCATCCACATAAAAAATCTTCTTCCTTATGTCTATTCAATTTGAAGTCTATTCAATTGATATCCAATCACATACTTTATTCATTAAACATGTCATGGATAAACCTATCTTTGAAATGAACTACAACATGGGATACCATCTCACAACAATTGTAAGAATGATGTACTGTATTTTCTCTAGTGTGTGCTCTTACTTTTACGATACAAATCCACAGTCAAAATAAGTCATATTTTAATAGTTTGGCATACAGTAAATGCAATTTTTGGTTTATGTGCGCTTTTCTCAAAGATGCACTTTTAAAAGTATATTTACTTTTTGAGAAAACATTTTTCTTTTAAAACTTCATGCATATAACATAGTTTATATTGCTTACAAATATATCATTCGAATTGAGAGTTGTTTTACATTACTTTTATTTTGTCAAAAAGTCTTTGGGATTTGTCTGCCTGTGTGTATGTATGCATGTTTGCCTGTCCCACCACAGACCTGATTACTAGTACTTTGGATTGAAATTTGTTACATACTAACTACCTAATTTGCATAATAATGCAAATTCATTTCTAGCTTTTCTCAACACACACTCATCAGATGTCAATAAAACTTGCCACATACATGTTTAGTTTATGGTTGACTTTTGTGCATACTAATTACCAAATTGCATCTAGCTGCATGCAATCAGTGCTGTGACAAAGGCTTTGCACAAGCGATGACTGACTTAATGATCATGTATAATCATATGACCTAATTAATATGCATAACTATAATATCTACTGGTAAAATATGGGCATTCAGCCAGTGCTTTTATGAAAGCATGAGAGATTTGGCTAACATATCATATGACCATATTTGGTCATGGGTTCCAATGTTATTCCATTGACCAATAGAAACCACTTGCTTCAATAGTAATTATGAAAAAATTGTTTGTTGTGTTGACAGTAAACCATGTGCAAATAGAAATATATTCAGAATAATTGTAAATTACATTAAATTTGAAGCATGATATTTAAGAACTTTGCATGCACCCTTTCCATTTTTTGCAATAAGGTACTTTTAAGATAGAGACCACACCTGTGAACAGTACTCCAAATTACTGTGGACCAACAAAATGTATAAGCACTTTAAAACGTTGACGTTATCAACGTGCCTGCCCAAGATCTTGAAAGCTTTAGCAACAAAAAATTAAGATAATGTAACTGCTAGGTGTTTGATGACATTCACACGATTAATCGTGTCATACTAATGCACAACGAGTTTCTTTTGATTAGAGAATGATATGACATTAAGATGGAGTTTGAGTTTCCAATCTTGACACTAGAGGGCGCCACTGAGTTAGGTCCCATGGACTAAAGTAATTACAGTATAAACATTGACGCATGAAACCATTGTGAGTCAACAGCATAAAAAGATATATTTGATGTTAAAATTCAATCTGACGTATCGTTTATATAAATGACAAATAAAATAGGACCTAATAATGATCCTTGAAGAACACCAGAGGTAACAGCTCTTCAAGACGACTGATGAGCCAATGACCACTCTTTGTAATCTGTTAGATACGTAGCAGCGATATCATGATACAGCAA